TCCCCTGGTGCAGCTTGAGCCCATTTCCTCTCATCCTATCACTAACTACTTGGGAGAAGAGACCAACATTCATCTTTGGATCGAGGCTTAACCTCAGGGAAAGGGTGTGCAATTTGGATGGGGATATTAATTAAATACAATCTCCTGGGCCACAACCCGGGACCACTCAGTATAGCTCTCAAGTGGGTAACCGAGGGGGTGCAGAGGAATATTTTGTGTAGAAATCGGTTGGTGGCCTGCAATTCCTTCATCTCATGTGAGTTATTTAAACATTCATGGCCACGTGATGACGTTACTATAGAATAAATCAAGAGGGAAACTCTCAGCATGCTGGGAACTGCGTGGGAACTGCTGACGTGAATGGTTTTGCCCCACAGAAAAAGGTCACCCAGGATATTGCCTTGGTGTGAGGCTGGATCAGCTCCACCTAACTCCTTCCCAAGGGAGATCTGTTCCAGCTGCTCTGAGAGAGCTCATACGGTGGGCTCCCCAGCTGACTCTGTTCCAGACCTTCCAGTCTGTGCTTACACATAACCTGGAGTTACTGGGGTGAGAGGACATGCTTAGACAATTACTGTAGAGCAACCAGTGCCTTTTATGTTCACGCTTTAGCTTGGCCTGTGGTAACACGTTTGTCTGCTGATGTCCCAGTACACAGCCAGAGAAATGAGAGCTCAGGATGTTTCTGCGGTGCAGGTAACTTTGGACTTCTCTGGCTGGTGTTGCTGAGAGACCCGCGGTGCTTCGTGATGCTCAGTGGAGCCTTTCTGTAGCAACCCTCAGGTGTTGGGTGACAGGTCTTAGGGGATAGAAAAATCACAAAGAGCGTTAGAAAGCTGGCCTGAAGAGCATTGGTGAAAAAAATCTGGAAAATGAAACACTGGGTGTTTGTCACAGGAAACAGCAATTACAGAAAGAGGGAATTTGCAGGTCGGCAGAACAATTTTGCCCAGTGGCAAATCTAGAGCTGTGCCTAAGCAGCTGAGGCGCCAGGTGCCTTTTTGGGTTGGATTATCGGGAGTCGTAAATGTTTTCCAAGGAAAGCAGGAGAGGCGTCTAGGGGAGAGGCAGTCTGACTGGCAGCTCTCAGTCTGGGCATGCCTCTGCATCGAGCCGGAGCTGTGTGCCTCTCTGGGCATCACTTGTAAGGTGCGAGAGCCTTCCTCTCCGCTCAGCACTGCTCCGAGCTCTCTGAACAAAGACACGGCAGGAGAGCGTCTCCCCGCAGAAGCCCAGCCTGCAGAGAGAACGGTTCCGTACAAGAAGGGGTGCACCCACACCGACTCGCTGAGCTGGCTTCGGTGCCTCAGCTTGGAGCCTTGCTTCTCTAGATGCTCGCTGGAGTGTCTGGAGAGCAGCCGAGGGCACTGAGGTGTGACGGCGTCCACTCTGTCAGGGAACTTAGGCCTCGCACTTCAGACATCTGAATGAGAGGGTGAAGATGAAACATCGCCTTAGTGAATTTTCATGTAGATTTAAAGAAATATTTGCAAAAGGACCTTTTCTTTTCCTGGAGTTTTTGTTTCAGTGGAATGCTGGTACTTGCTCTTCCCCTCGGTATTAAAGCCTTCTGTCTTACTTGTCTTTCCATTAGCATGACATAGCTGTAGACTTGGAGGGATATTCTTAAGCGGCTTCTTTAACTGAAAGACTCTGAAATCTATCTGTTTCAGTGCATGATGAAAACACAAAGAGGGACACTCCAGCAGATTGCTTTGAAAGCACAGTGTGCGACTCCGAGATACCAGGAAGACCTGGAGAGAAGTTTTCCAAGGATCCTAGCCCCGGAGTGACATGGGACAGTCAGTGGAATTCAGAAATGATGGAAACAAACACCACTGGGAGTGGCCTTGGGGGTGACACTCGGTACGACCGAGGGTTCGGTGAGCACTTAGATTTCTTTAGCACTCAGGAGGAAAACAGTGTCGGAAAGAGACCATGCACATACAACAAATGTGAGAGAACCTCCAGCCAGCAGGAACATCTGCAGACTCCCGAGGGAGCCGGAGAAGGGGAGATGTTTCCAGGCCCCACGTGTGAGAAGAGCCTCAGCGAAAAGGTGTTCCATCTGCTGCACTCGCAGCCGTGTGCTCCAGGTGAGAAAGGAATCGGGCAGGGGGCCGCTCCTGCCTCCTGCGAGGGGCTGCCCGCGGGGCTGCAGCTGGTGGCCCGCACCGAGCGCGGACAAAACCCTGCGGGCGGAACCAGGCTTCGTGACCACGACGGCCTCGGCGGAGAGGAGCAGGCGTCTGCGGAAAGCGAGGAGAACTTCCCCACGGAAAACCCGTTAGCCAGCCCCTGCTGGGATCACCCGCAGGACAAGTCGGAGGCCTGCAGCAGGTGCAGGCAGCACTCGGCGCCCAGGGGCAGCCCGGCAAGCCAGCAGCAGAGCCAGGGCAGGGGCAAGTCCTACATTTGCAGCGACTGTGGGAAAAGCTTCGTTTGCCATTCGTGGCTCGTTAGACACCAGATGACTCACACGGGGGAGAGGCCCTACAAGTGCTCCGAGTGTGACAAAAGCTACAGGAGAAAGGATTACCTTCTAAACCACCAGCGCCGGCACTCGGGAGAGGGTCTCTTCCAGTGCCCCCTCTGCAGGAAAAGGTTTGTGCTCAGGAGGAGTTTCATGAAGCATCAGGAAAGTCACATGCAAGAAACACATCTGACGTTGGCAGGTTGGCCCTGCACAGAGATCAGGGGGTCTGTAATGCACTCCATATAGAAATTCCCACCTGGAATTGGCTGTCACCCTTGCTGAGCGGGAGGCAGGGCCGTAGCTGGATCTCCCAGCTCTGTGCTGGACCCTGGTGGGAGGAGGCGGCTGTCGAACAGCTGTCCTGAGCCCCCTCCCAGGCAAAAGGAGAAGACTGGGGGGGTTATTTTCTGCAGACCGCGTTGCAATGGCCTGCGGAGTGGTTTCACAGCTTTCACTGGTGCCTGTAGCTGTTGGGGATGTGCTGGAGCTGTGTAGGACGTCTGCGGTGCTCGGAGTTACTGCTAGCCATGAATCCACGTGGGAGAGAAATCACATCGACACACGGAACAATTTGTAATGCTTCAGGCTGGAGAGTATCTAAAATGTTATCCCTAGGCTGCTGGGAGTCCAGAGTCCAGGGACTGGGCTGAAAACAAGTGAGTTAAAGTTACTAATTGTCCACTACACAAGTGAAACAGTGTCAGGAGACAGCTACGTGTGTGAAATGCTTTGAGAAAGGAAGTGTTGACCCTGCGGCTGTTTAAAAGAAGCCTCTTCAGGAAGTGGCAGCTAGACAGAGGGGAGCAGAGCCTGAGAGGCAGCTTGTTCCCGCAGTTAAATCACGGAGCTCCTGGGGCTCCATGCTGCTGACCCCCGAGAGAGGAGTCCTGAAGGCTGGGGGTCCTCGCCTGGAGTTGTAAAATGACCGGGAAGCCTGGAATATGATTTTCATTTTGTGTAGCCTTAAAGTTATGTTGCACTTACTTTACCACGTTGTTACAGGTCCTCTGTGTTTGTTCAATTTTCCGAATCCTATGAAAACAGAAAATTTAGATGCTCATTAAACGTTCTCCTTCAGAAACTGTATTTTTACTCATATTCAGTGTCTCCTAAGGGGGAGAGTGCTGTTGAGAGTCTGACGTGTGACGTTGCAAGGACACGATTCATTCCTTTTAGTAATAAAAGGGTCTGGATATATCGTCTGTCACCTTGTTGTCGAGGGCGTTGAGCCTTGTGGAAAAAAAAAAATACAGAAGCAGCAGCACTGCCTGAGTCAGGCAAGAGCCCATTTTGGTTCAGCGCTCCTTCACCGTCAGACAGTTGTGACAAATTTTGTTAAACGGCCTTTTTATGTGCATGCTTCTGCTGAAGTTTTGTTTAGATGCCTTTTTGTTGGTTGGAAATGTCTCTTTTTTTAAAAAAAAAAAAATTAAAATGGTTAGAGAAATGCTGTGGGTCATTCTGCAGGGGGTGGAGAAAAGATGAGCAAGGTTGAAGCAAGAGGAGGAACTCTGGATGTGCTGTCCCCCCACGCCCCCGTTTTCAAGGCAGATCTTTGCTTTAGAAGATGAGGGAATGACCGCCAACGGAGAAGGGGGAACAGCGGGTTTCTCCTCAGGCCGGGATGGGGCTCGTCCCTGGGGTCAGCCCGCCCGGGGGGACCCCGAACGTGCCCCCATCCCCG